GGTCCTCCTTAAATACCCCTTCGAGGGCTGTAGTTTCCATAGCAATGGCACGTCTCTTCGTGCCCCCCAGCACTTGGGCAGGGACATGTCCTGGCAGAACACCCCTGCGGGCAGGGCACGTTCACACAGAGGGGTTTCCAGAACCCAGTGGTCTTGTGACTGTCCTTGCAAACAATCTTTGAGACAAGTCCATAGTGCAGTTCCTCACAGCTGCCAAGTGCCTAGTTCAACAGTTCTGCATTCTAAATTCGATTTAAACTGATGTCACTAGTTCCTTACTCTATTTTAAACTTTATATTTGATTTACATAGCCCTGTAGTTTTCATTCTGGTTTCAGCATTATTTTAGATAGAACATGAGACAAGGAAGAAATGCACCACTGTGTCATTGTTTTTAATCGTGACGTGTTTAAAGAACATTATATATTGTTTATGCTTTTTAAAAAATCAAGAATTACAAAATAAAATAAAACTATAGCTTCTTCTTATTTAGTTAATAAAAACTTGGTTTTATTTTCAATTGTGATGGTGCCTGAGTCATGTTGAATAGAAAGTTAATGTACAAAAAGTCATAAGATTAAGTGTATTTGTACAAATACAGAGACTTTCAATCAGTTTTTTAAAAATAAAAAATGAAACTGTTCTAAAACATGATTGAACTAATAAGATGAAAGAACCTTGGTAGATAGTAAAGCATTCTACATTATGAAATACTCTAATTTCAGCATTGAGGTATCTTTCCTTAATTTTAACCAGAATATTTCAGATATTGGAGATTTGTTTTCATATGTCTGATCAACAAGTGTGTGAATGTTTTCAGGTTTAGCAGAGTGCTCTTTTTCAGTCTGGCCACACTTTCCATAAATTTCCTATGGTTTCGCTGTTGTGAAATCTGAGTCTTTGTTCACAGAAAATAGGTGTGTAATTGGAAGGACCAAGAATTAGATGAGTGTAGTCTGTTGCATAAATCATTAAACGCTAGCAGCTCTGTCTTGTGATACAATCATGTCTTTCTGAAGATATCTTATAGCATTTGATAAATTAAACATTATTTTTCAAAATGCATCTCTTAAAATATAAAAATATAAGAAATAGTTAATGCTTGTATTTAAAAGTACAGTTTGCAATACTTAAATCGTTCATGTCTGAAAATGAACAATCTGAATGAAACATTGAAGTGGTTGCATGACGTCAGGGATGGTTAAAATTGACAGTACTGTTTGCTTTTGAAATGGTAGCTTTCGATGGTTGTATAGTTTTGTCTGAATTGCAAGTATGTTTCTGCAGCTTAAGAATTAATCGTGCCCCCAGCCTGCTGCTCTGGTAACTGCACAGCTGTTGTTATGCAACCCACTTGCAGTTAATTTTGGAGAGTTTGCTGATTCCATCTTCCAGCTAGAGATGCCAGAAGTAGTCTTCTTGGAAAACATGACCAATAATAGACAGTTTCAAAGAAAGAAATAGCATTTTGGCAGAACAGAAATGAGTTTTCCTATAGCTTAGTTTCTGCTACATATTTCAAAGTTATAATCCCCTAGCAATCTGCAGGCATAGAAAAAGACAAATTTTGAGCCTCTCTTAAAGCATGGGTATTTTTCAAACCATTTTTTTACAACTATTGCTGTTCATTACTGCAAGCTTTTAAAATAAGCTGATTCATGAGAAACTGGTGTAACAAAGCCTTGCATCCTTTAAATTTCTATCCTGTGTTCCTGATCCCAGTTAACCCAGGTCCTTCTTCATGCAGATGCCTTCAGCTCCTCTCAGTAATACTGTCATGTACCTCAAAGATTAAGGCATGGACTCTGAAAATATGTTTTATTTGTTACTATGTTTTAGACCTTGTCAGATAAGTACAGATCAAAAGTTGAGCGTTTTCACGACACATAAAACTGTTTTCAAGAGATGAGTCTGTTGTAGTTTGGAAAATAAATGTTTCTTGTTTATTTTTATGGTAGTCTAAGCAGCCATCTCTTTCCTCTTTTGATGTTCAGGACTTGTCATTAAGTTTTGGTATGTGTTAGCGTACAGTTGCTTTTTATTTGAGTTTATTCGGGGATTTTTTTGGTTGGTTTTGTTTGTTTGTTCTGGTGTCCACTTGGTGAAAGCTTCATTATGGTAGCATGTATCAAGGACCATCACAGCAAGGAACATTTTATGTTATTCTTTTTGCCTATTTGACTCTCTTCTCATGCTTCTTATTCTGTAAAGCAGCCTTTAATATTGCACTAGAATATGTTTATGATATGAAATAAAGGCTTTAAAAAAAAATATATTTTCATATCATACTTTTCTCTATCATACCCCTGACCCTCTCCATATCCCCACGTTGCACCACCATCTGCTGGCCTGGAAGGACTCCCTTGCTGGTGGCAACCACTTGCAGGACTGGCAAGCTGGCAAGCCAAAGGAACAGATCACTACTTGAATCATGTTTTAGCATTTCCTTAGTTAGTTGTAGGAAAGGAGTAAAAAAAATTCAGGACTTTCTAACCAATAATTTTTATTTCAGACAATTACATGTCCTTCTTTTGTGCCAGATTTAACTGGAATTGACCACTAAGTTCTGAGCAGGGAAGGAGACAACAAAGAGACGGACGTAGGGGTTGCACAAGTCTCATTTCCTTATGTTTCTGTGGCTTTGGAGAATCTTTTTCTCTCTGCTGAGCTTTGCTAAATGTAAAAAGATCATGAGCCTGACTGAAATTATTGGTTATTGCTAGAAACCTTAAGTCTGACTAACCCAGGTTTGTTTCTTAATTATTTTTCTTTTCAGAATTGGTAAAGGATTTCAAGGTGTCATGAAAAGGTGGGGATTTAAAGGTCAGCCTGCAAGCCATGGCCAGACGAAAACTCACAGACGTCCTGGAGCAATATCTACCAATGTGAGTATTCATATTTCCTGTTTAAACATTCCTCAGTATTTTTAGAACTAATTACTAAAAATGAACAATAGCTAGCTGTTACCATCTACTCTCTGGTAGCAAAGAATCCCAGCTGTTTCAAAGGAAGTTCAGAAACCTGTATAATGAGCAATGCAGATAGCTATTCTCTTACACCTGGATTTATGAATATTCTATATTGCTGGTAAGTGAGCAAACATATTTTAACTGAGCAAATGGTGCTATTTTGTAGTCGAGTTGAGAGAAGGAGTCTTAATGCTTCAAAAAGAGTTCTAAGAATCTTTTTTCACAGCATTTATAGATTGGAAGGGATTTAGCCATTATTTTATGCTGCAGATACTGTACTATTCTTTGGAACCTTAGTTGCTTTTATCACCTTGTGTGGCTTGTGTAGCTGCTTAATGAACTATTTGATTCCCAAATTAGTTTGTTGGCATTTTTAGGCAGAGTACAGAGTAATATTTTTAAGTTTCAAACTATAAATAATATTAGTTTAAAAGCTTTTTGGAACAGATTCATTTAGAACTTTGTCCCTGTAAAGGCTGCACAATATTTAGGCTGAACTAAGAGGGATTTTTGCAAACTAGCTTTGTTACACAGAATTAAGACTGAGTCATAATACTGAACCTGAATTGTCTGTAACTTTCTTAGAGAAATTAAAATAAAAATTTAAAAAGGATTAATAATGCTCAAGAGAATAGTAAAAGCAAAAAGGCACCAGGCAAATAAGTTAAAGTAATTGAGACTGTAAAAGCATACAATACTGATTTGTAGTCCTTCATTTCAACACTTTTAGCACGTAATATTCATCATTGCAAAATAACTCCTCTTTACTTTTCTTTAAATTAGAATTTCCTAAGCATATAATATGGATATAATTTCACAGAGCACAGAGAATGAGAAATAGTAATGGAAATAGGTGTGATGAAAAGGAAACAAGATGAAAGGATGCAATAGGGGAAAAACAATGCCTTGATTTTTATTTTCCAGTCTAGTGTTGACCATCACAGATATTTTTGTGATCCTACATTGTTCAGTACAGAATCCTGTCCCTAGAACTTCATTGCAGCTGATTTCCTGCAGTCATGATTTTCACACAAGTTAAAAAAAAAAATAAATTATTCATTAATAACAGAGTGATGCAGGAAACTGAGAAAAATCCCTCGATAATACTGTAGAACTGAAAGTTATTGCACTTTTTCCTGTCTTTTCCACCTTTGTTCTCCAGGTTATACACAGCCAAACAAAAAGAGGATAGAGAGACTAAGCAATAGCAGGGAATGTAATTGAAAATTCTGCCCTCAAAAATACATTCTTTGAAAAATCTGTTTTACAGCAGTATAAAACTCCTGGTTTAGGGAGAGAGGAGAAGCTACAGTATATCTTCATTTTGGCAGCATTCCAGGGCAGGACTGCTCTGGAGCTCTGTGGTAGCATGCAAAAGTAGTTTTGGCAAGTTTCCAGTTGCTACAGTCTGTGATGTAGGTGAGAGTCTTCTGTTGACAGGGATTTTAGGAAAAAAAACTTTTCTTGATTTTCATGATTTTGCTCTGAACCTATATACATTAAATATTAAGCAAAGCTAGAATTTGTTGATACAACAATATGTTTAGCAATTTTATGATTGACATCAAGTATTTTAGACAACATGTAGAGTAATACCTAACCTCCAGCAGAAGGTATTTAATATTCTAATCAATATTATGTATTTTCAACATTGGTAATAGCAGCATATTTTCTTCGGTGCATCTCTTGCAGTTACATGATTGTTTTGGCCTTGTTTTTATCTAGAAAGCTGGCAAAGTTTATCGCGGAAAGAAAATGCCTGGTAAAATGGGTAACGTCTATAGGACATCTTTTGGATTAAAGGTGAGTTTTGAGTATATTAGAATGTGTAAAAGGTGATTATGTTTCCAAGCAGTAGACTTAGCCATGTAGCCTTGTGTTGGTGTACTGTCTGTCATTGCTGTCAGAATCCAGACAGGAGCACCTTGAAGTAAGCAAGCTGGAAAGATGGGAGCAGCATATCTGTGCTGTCTTCTTGTGGGTTATGAGTAAGTAATCTGAACTCCCTTTGTATATGTGTACCCTGAGAACTGGGATTTCAGGTGATACTTTCACATCTGATGTGGTTTTCATTGTGTCCCTTGACATCTGCCTTGGAAGTGGGAAAACGATTAGGCTTTTGATGACCTTCAGTCAGTGTTTTCATGTCTCTTACACATGTTCAAACCCAATTCAAGTCTTAGTTATTTGAAGTCCTAACTTTATCATGGCCCTTCACCTTCATGTGCAAAAAGGGGATTATGGTTTCTGTCTAGATTCTGATGCGTACAAAGCTGCAGCAGTTCCTGGGCTATTACAGCTACTGTTCTCTCTCTGAAGGCAACCTCTGCACTTTGCACAAAAAGCCTGTTAACCTCTAGTTTGCAAAAAAGTGTGCAGCTGCTGCTCACTGCTAACTCAAACTAATTTTTTGTAACAGTGCATGTTCAGTTGAGCACCTCATAGAAATAAGAAATTAACAAGTGGTCGCAGTAACATTTTAATGAGCATATTTGTTTTAATTTGTCAGGTGTGATGTTTTTCAACAGCTTTTGCTGTTAGAGGGAAAAGAGACTTGGGAACTTCAGTTAGTGGTGTGCTGACCAAAGAGCTGTCTTGCCAAATATAGCCTGATTATGAGCCTTTTAAAACCCTTTAATATAGACTCCTGTATTAGAAAATTATGCACTGGAGAGTAGTGTGTGACTGGATTTTGTGGCAAGTTTAGGCCTGTGCAGAACATTCTTCTTCCCCAGGGCACCACCTCCAGTTAATCAGTTTGTGCTTTGCTGGACTACTGTTTGTAAAACTGGGAACAGTCTCTAAAATGAGCTCAATTTCTGTTTTTTTTCTCTCTCCTAGGTGTGGAGGATCAATACAAAACATGACATTATTTATGTAAATGGGTCTGTTCCAGGTCACACAAATTGTCTGGTGAAGGTATGTGTGCTAGTTTCAACTTACTGGTATTAGTGGCTCCTAAGCTCTCTACAATTCTCTTCTTAGAAAAGGAAAAATGTTGGTTGAATGCAATCTTTGTTTCTTCAGAATCCCATCTTGCACTATTGAATTAAAGGGGAGTAGGATCAGTTCTGTGAAAGAGTGATTAATAGGGGCAGTGGGTCACCACTTACTCTAAAGAACTCATTCTTAGCTTTGCACTGGGGTTGCACACCCATGTAGCATATGATAAACCAACACAGTCATTGTAACGCTGTGTTAAGTGTCTCACATCTAGGTCCAGCTCATTTTAACACTAACCTGAGTCAATAGCATGGCAGTGGGGTTTCCAGAATATTATTTAAGGGTTGTATTCATGAACAGAAATACACAGCAAGCACTGTTTTAAAGGTTATTGAAAACATTCCCATACGCAGTAGCAGCTATCTTTCCAAGGAGCAATTGAGGTGCAGGAGGAGACAGCTGGAGTTTACAAGAACAATGTGAGTTCCCTTTGCAATCAGTATAAATGTGTCAGTGTTATTTTCTGTGGCGTTCTACAGAATTAATTTCAAATTTTATTGAGATTGTTTCAGGATTGTTTATGAAAAACTGGAATAATGAAGCATCTAATATGTGTTCTTACAGTGTAAATAATTCACGACAAAGCAAGGAAAGTACTTTTAAGGATTATTTTCAAAATAGACTTTTCTTATTAGATATATTCTACATATCTGCAAGCACAAATTACTTGGAGGAAGTTGATTCCTTCCTGACTTAATAGAGTACAGTGTATCAAACATCTTTATTATTGTTGTACATATACCTATATATCTGATACATAGTTTAAAATGCTCAGAAATATTGTAGGGATTAATGGAATAATCCAGTTCTTGTTATTGTTGTACATATACCTATATATCTGATATCTGATAGTTTAAAATGCTCAGAAATATTGTAAGGATTAATGGAATAATCCAGTTCTTTAAAAGTTACAGAGTTCATCAAGTTCAGTTGTTTTCAACTAGTTTATGATGTTCGTGTCATATTTTACTATGGAAAACCAGTTTTTATTACGTGTTTCTGAGTTGTGAAGCAGAACTCCACAGTCACTGGGCATTAAGTAAAACAACCCTAGTTTTCAAATAGGTGTTTTACACACATTAAAATAAAGTTTATTGTTGTTTTTTCTCTCACTTGAAATAAGGCCTTTTTTTTCCTGAGTGAGGTATCTCTATAAATTGCTTTGATTGTAATGTCTGGCCCAACCCTGGAGAATAAATTACACATTTCTCTCTCAAGATAGTGAAAATCAATTAACAGATGTCCAGGAGTAGTTTTCATGATAACTTCTGCAAAATTACTGGGCATGACATCAATTACTTAGAATTAAGATTGTAGTTTGACAGGTTTTTCATCTGTATATTGGACTGAATGACCTTTTTTTTAATCATATTCTAAGTATTTTTTCTAATCCTGAGCCATGAACCTGGTTGCTATATATTAGTCTGAGGTTTAAGTAAGTATGAGTTTGTTGTAAGATGTTGTTTTTAAATTATAAGTATACAAGCAATATAATCTAGTTGATGCCCAGAGTTTATTCTTTGATCTTAATAGTACTCTTAAGCAAGAGCTAATTGTTGCAAAAGGTTGCTGTTAAAATCCACACTTACATGGTTCAGTGGCAACTGCATGTACATATCTCAGATGTCTTATCTGCAGAGATACATTTTATGAAGCCATTGAGACTGTGAATACAGTACTTATTTCCAGCACGTAACTTACATTCTAACTAGACTCAGTAAACTCATTTGTTATTTCTGGTTTTAAGTGAGTTAAGACAACAAAAATTTATTTAACACCTGAAATACAAAGTGCTTTTAAAAGCAAAGCTCTCTGGAGCTTTGGACTGGAAACATCTCACTTAACACCATGGATTTACTGTTTTTGTTATGAAAGCAGTCCTGCTGTTAGCTTAAAAAATCCTTGAGGCAGCAGTACTGCCAGAGTCAACAGCCTTGTTAACAGGAGACTGCTGGGCCAAGCCATCTTGAGCGTATACAGTGAAACAACCGTGTTGACATCTGTGAAGTGAAGAGGATAATAGACTTTGATTGCCATGGCAGTCTGCTGCATACCATTTAAGTGCTTGCCGTGTCCAGCAGTGATTTCTGTTCAATTCACTAGCCATGGATGATGATTGGAACTTTATCCTAAATCCAAAAGTTAAAGTGGCTCCATTGTTTTGTTGGGTTTTTTTCCCCAAGTAAGCTTAATCCATCAGTATTAACTAAGTGGCACAAGACACTTTTCTGATTGTGTTACTAATCCTTGTGCATGATGTTGACAAGATACAAATACAATTAATATCAATTCTGTAAGTCATCTGTATTTGAAGATTTTTCAGGTCATAGTTATCTACAATTTAGAAGTCCAGGTAATTTCAGGTATGCATTTTGGCATAGGCATTTCAGAGTTGCAGCCAATTCTGTTCATGAGGGTTGAGGATCCACAGGAAGAATGAGGGGTTTCATCCCTTAGAGCTCTTTGGGGCTCTATATAATACATATATATACATAATATAAATGAATAACATCAATATGATAACATATTTGAAAGATCTTGACCAAAGTGCTCCAGACTCAAACTTTCATGGCTTTTTAGTAGTAAATAACATTGTTTGAGATGAAAGCGCAGTAGTGGGTATTATTACTATTAAGAAAGAGATTTTTTTTAAAATTGCCTCCATTCACATATTTGGTGATTGGAGGGAGTCTGTAGTCAGCAACAGTTCATTCCATTTTCTGGAGCTGTTGAATCCATTCTGTTTTGGTTTTTTTTTCTTCCAGAAGCCATAGGAATTACATGTACTAATTAAAATTTTTTCCTTATATTTTCAAATACATCTCTGAAGAGTAGAGAAAGCTTTAATTAAAAAAGCATGCAAAGCAATACTATTTGGCATGTGTTCTCTAGTTTCTGGTTTTTTCTTTGTCCATTTAATCTCGCTGCACTCATCTGTGGTGTTTTCAGCTTGTGTCCTATGCCTTTCTTCCAGGGTGTTTTCTTGTTTGCATATAGACTTTGACATTCTATACATTGTTGTTTGGATCTGCACTTGGGGAGAGAAGTTACAGGATATTAGCGTTCATAATACTGTTCATTCCACTAAATACCTGCCTATAATTAGGTGTGACTAATGTCTAGGGGATTTGGATCTGTCTATCTTTGAACTCAAAAACTGGAGTATCGCATAAGACTTTTCTTTGTGTGTCTCAAGAGGAAGGTATTTGTGTTCAGTACCCACTCTGTGTTGCTTGGTAACCATTAAAACCACAGTGCACCTTAAAGCATATATTTGTTTTTTATGTTATGTATTTTTGGAAACTTAGTGCATCAGCACTGTATCCAGACAGAGATGAAGTACTTAAATTTTTCAAGTTTCATTTTCAGCAGAGTAAAAGTGCAGAATACTAGGACTGATGGATTCTTGGTTTAATTAGAAGTAAGTTTTCGTTTGATATTGCACACTGAAGCATGCAGGTAAATAACTGACATAAGTAATATTTCTAGCCAACTGGAAAACTAATCAAAAAAGCTTACTTGAGCATGGATTTCTTTCTGAATGGAAAGGTCTAATAAAATTAAGAAACTTTAGCAGTGTGCTAGAATATGTGGCATTTTTCTTTTACAAGAATAACATTGCAGAGTAAGCATTTGTAAATTAGTGTGTTGTGCCTATCGAGATAGCCTACCTCAAGTAATACCTGTTCCTCTTGGTGTATCTTCTTAGATCACAGACCCTATAGTTACTGTCTGTGGTGTTGATCCTCTAGAAAAAAGCTAATAGTTTTTTCTTTTGGAAACTTGCAGCTCTTGATTTCTCTCCCAAGTATGTTACCAAAAAATCTTCTATTCTGTCACTCAAGAGAGAAGCAACAGACTAATTCCCTTTTTAAGTAGATACTTTATAATGGAGAGAATATTGTGATATGGTGTATTATAATTCAGGATGTTATGCTTTATCTTTGAGTTAAACTTCAAGTATATGGTACACTGCTTGAGCTAATAAACTTTTCAGTCTTCCTCCTGTCTTCCTCCTGCCCTCTTCCTGTCCTTCTCCTTTGCTCCTCCTTTCCTCCTCCGAGGTGTCTGTAGTGGTTTGTATCTTACTTGTTTTGTATCACACTTGCCAGTATTACAGTGTGTGTTTCTAGCTGGTGATGCCTGAGTTGGGTGTGCTGTGTTCAAATTGAGGACGTGCAGGAATAGTGTGATGCCTTCCTTCTTTTGTGTTCCCTATCCTGTACTTTGGGCCTCATGATAGAGTTGTGTGGAGTTTTTTGTTTGTTTAGATGGTTTTTTAAGACATTTTAAGGTTGGTCAGAAATTGATATAGTTCTTGAATTCAATTATCTGTCTAGCTTCAAAAATAGCAGAGAGGCTGAGCTAGGTAATATACGACACCTGAGGAGATTATTTCTAACATTCTGTATATTTAAACACATTTTCCTGTTTAGCAAACAACTGGCATTCTTTGTTGTGGTTGCTAACACAGCCTGAACCCTGTTAAACTACAAATATGAGTTGTGACTTAAGCATTAAGTTTTAATGCCTGTTTGGGGGGAAACAAACAACAAACATTTAAATGCCTTTCATTTCCCAAGTGTCCAAAACTCCCTGCAATGACACAGCCTGTATGTAGCAGCACGTATTATTTCATTGTAAGAATAATCCAAAATAACAAAAATTGGACATGATAAACATTTTAATAAGATATATATGAAATGAATGAGTTATCAGAAAGAAAATAATTTATTCTAATCTTCCTAATATTATTGTAACTCGTGTAGAGACCATGGAGGTTTTTGCTGTTGATAAAGAAGGCTTATGATGTATAATAGGATTAGGGAGTTGTCCTGGTTTTGCTAGGATGGAGTTAAATTTCTTCTTAGTAGTTAGAATAGCTGTGTTTTGGTTTCAGTGTAAGACTTGTTATGAGAAGAACATTGATAAAAGAGAAAGGGACCAGGGAAATAGCAGGTAACTGGTGAAGTTATTAAAACATGTTTTCTTATAGTAAAAGAAACGGCAGCAACACATTGAAAGGGAAGGATGACTTTGCCGCTGCAGCAGTTCAGATGGCACTGTTGAAACTGTCTGACTGTGTTTCCTCTGAACTCACTGCTGCTGGAACTGTTGCAGCAAAGGTCTTCGGACTTGGACCTCAGCCTAGTTTATTCCATGTAGATAAATGATGTTAATTGCTGTCTGCCGGGACTGTGGGTACTTCAGCATTTGTGCATGGCCGTTTCCAAGAGAATAGAGAACGCTTTTTGTGGGGAGGTGTCTGATAGAAGAGGAATGATCTACTTGAAAAGCTAAGTACATGTTGAGCCTTTCACTCAACAATTCAACTCAGTTCTTAGCAAAATATTTTCTTTTGTTTATCAAGCTTGCAGTTAGAAAACTGTTGGAAGTTCCTCGGGGGTGGGGGGGACCAAAACCAACAGTTTTTCAGAAGCTGGAGTTTAAGTCAGATTTATTGTGCACTTCATTTGCAGGAATCCTCATGGACTTTGGGAAGGGCTCAAGTAATAGCAGATATGAACCTGGTAAATATAGTGCTGTCAGAATAGAACTGTCACTAGGCATAAAATTGTTTCATTTAATTTCTGGTATAAACCACAATTGTACTATATGAGGTTTTTGTCCAACCAATTAAGAACAAGCTTCTTGTTCTTTAAAAGCCCACCGAAAAAATCAGAGGAAGAGCTTATCTCCTCTGTACTAAAATTTTGTCTAATCTATTCATACTTTTTTTTTTTTAAATCCAGTTTAGTATAGTGGCTGAAAGGGATTATTACAGCTCAGGAGAAAGATCACATGTAATCATATAGAAATGGAGAATTTGATTTTAAATAAAATTTCATCACTTCAGAATTTGTAGCTATTTTTTTTTCTTCAGAGATACCAGCTTTCTATCTTCTACCACAGACAAACTGCTTTTTGCTGATAATTCTTGCTACTCATTTTCTTCAGAGATTGGAGTTCAGGGGCTAGATTTTAAATCTTTCCACATGCAGAGAGGTCAGTAAAGGAAGGTAATTTCTCTGTGACACTACAGTTTTTGGAAATTAACTTTCTTAAAGTCTCATGTTCAACAAAATTTGGTACTGATTCCTAAGTAAAGAATTTTAGATGCTTAACTGCAATCACTGAACAGCTCTGCAGTAGCCAGAGGAACTGAATACAGCACAAATTAGTTCCCATAATTAGTTATGTTATATAGGAAAGTACTGCCGTTTAAACAAGCCATACTTAGACACATTTATTTTAATAACATTTGAAAATATTAAGCAATGAATTCAGGAGAGTAGTTTTTGATTCTCTCACAGTAGTGATAAATTTATCACACAAGTGATAAATTCTCTTTGGGTTTTTTGTTTTGTTTTCCTGTTCTTTAAAAAACTCCTTAATGATGGGTACAAAAGGCTAAATTCAATAGCTGGAGTTGATATTAAAATAAATGATGATTATAGCTGGAATTCTTCAGATAAACAAGTATAATGTGAATGCTGTTTGTTTTTTTTTTTTTTCTTATGCATGCAAGATGATTTCTTTAATTTCTAGTATCACTGTCTGAAAGTCTTCGGGAAGTTTTATTAACCTCACCCTTCCCCCTCCTGCTTTTTAGGTCAAAGATAGCAAATTGCCTACTTACAAGGACTGCAATAAAAACCCTCCATTCCCTACGTTTTTTGCTGATGGAGATGAAAAACTACCGGAAGACCTATATGACGAGGAGATCTTCCAGTTCACGGATCCATCTGTCAAATATGCATAATGTTCTTCACATCTTCGAAAGCACACAATTTTGTTATTTTCATGAACTTTGCAACGCCGTATAAAAGTAAACCTGTGAATTGCAGTCTGGCCAACTGACTTGAACGCTTCAGATATTGCCTTTTTGATCAGGTAATAAGTTTTACCACTGTTAATTTCAAACCTGTATTTAAAGCAGCAAGTGAGTCTGAGAGGCAAGTTGTAAAGCACACCAAACGGTTTGTCTTCAGTTATCTTTTGTCTTCTGTCTCAGGCTGTGAAAACTTACACACTTCTGAAAAACTTTTGTTTTGAAGATGGATCCATTTAATTTCCTGAATGCTACCAAACTCAGTTTCTTTTTTGTGGAAAGTATTCTGGCCAGCTCTGACCAATCAAAAAATAAAACCCCTTCCAAATCTGCCTTCGCATTTGAGAGGATCCATGGAGAATAACCCAAAATAAAACAAGAAAATGCATTGCTCTGTAGCAGCATGAACTTGTTTTGTTTCCTTCTTTTTATCGGAGCTCTTTCTCTCCTTTTGCTTTAATGTTGTGTTGATTTTAACATAGCAGCTACCCGACAAATTTTCTAGAGGAAAGATGATGCCAACCAGTGCCTGTCTCGTCAGAGAGTTCTGGCAGCACGTATGGTGAGGGGGTGTTCAGATGGGAAATGTTCAGTAACAAAGCAGCACAAAGTCTGCAGTGACCACCTGTTTGTTGCTTTCGCTGACAGCTTGTTCTGAACTTCGCAGAGGATCCCTTGCATGTTCTCTGGAGAAATATCTCTACGTCTACAGTTGTCTCTGTATTGGATTCTTATGCTGTTACAGGACAGCTATTACAAAGAAAACAGGCCAAATGTGAAGAATTTGTCTTTATGATAATTCTTATTTTTCTTCTGCCCTATCTTTCAATAATAGGTGGAATCAGTATGCTTCTTTTATTTTTCATCTTATGTGATTTACTACTTATAAGTCTGATCTTTTGAATGCTGTAAATCCTCTCATGTACAGAAGCAAGTAAGTGCATGACTGTCAGTGCCATTTGAGCACTTACAAGCCCTACAGATGTTCAAGAATTTGCATATACTAATCTACCGTTAATACTGTGGCAGTGCTGTTTACTCATCTTTGCAGCTTCATCACAAGACATTAAATATCTAAACTAAATATGAGATTTCTAAAGATCGTACTAATACTATCCAATTTAAAAGGTGATGTCCTTGTCATTATGGTGTCTCTCTGTCACTGAAGGTGTTTTGGATTTTTTTGTAATAGCCTGAAGGAACCACATGCCATCTTAAAGAGGCTGTATGTAGCTACTGGCATGTAGTAGACTAGGGGAGATCTTTACAGACTGTGGTATGGAAATGTGAACTGGTAAATACCTACATTGTAGGGTGTCCCTTAGCTGGATTCAGTCAAATTAAAAATATGATTCAAATGAATGTATTAGAATGCTGAATAACAGCACTAACTTTGTGCTTCCCCTTCTCTTCAGTAACATAGGCTCTGCAAGTGCAGAAATCACACACAGAGAAGATATGATGCTAAAAGCCTGTACATGTAGCAAATACCCAGTGGGGTGTCGTGTTTTGGCCGTGATACTAGTAATGAGTGCAACCTGTCACCTATTCCAGATAGTTGCCATTTCCTGAAGAGGTGTTTGGTATTCAGTGTCCTTATTACAAAGCAGATTTTAAAAGTTACAGCATTTCAAGTTTGCTTGCTGTTGAACACGTAAATCAGAGTTTGTCCAGATGTGTAGCCTGCTGTTCTGCTGTGGTTTATGGGATAGTTCTGGCACAAACAGTGCTTTCCCTGAGGAGCTTTGTTGTTGTTTGGTTGGGTTTTTTAACTTCATCGGTAATGTTCCTGGACGATCACTGAGATGATCACGCAGAGAGATGCTTTCTATTACTTGGTTTCTCAGACAGAAGATCCAGGACTGTGGGATCCTGTGGAGTAATTACTGGAGGTAACTAAATCAGAAAATGGCTGTGTCCACACACTAAGGGAAAGGTATAATGTCAAAGAAGATCCTAGGGGGAAAATACAGCTGGCATGTGAAGAATCTTCTCCAAGGCTGCCTCGCTACTAGACCTGCTGCTTATCAAGGGAAAAGCAAGAGATGGGAGACAGCGAAGGCTTGCCTTCCAGCTCTTGTCTCGATCACAGCATGGTACAAGGTTTGATGTGCCATCTACGAGGAACCCGGGGTCAACCATTGATGCCCCACAGGCATCCCTCTGATGTTTGCCTCCCTGTGTTGGACCTTGAATTACAGCCACACAAAAACATAATCCCAGCACACTGACCCCCCCTCCTTCCCCCTCAAGTGACATATGTTCCAAGTTTTGGTAATTTCTTCCTAAAAAGGGAAGCAGAAGTGTCTTTACCAGTCACCGTAAAGGTATGACTAGAGCCACTCAAGCTCCGCCTTGCAGGTAAAAAATAATATAAAAATAGCCCAAAGAAAGGAGGGAATTAGGGAAGGCACCATCACAGTCAGGGAAGATGCCATCACCGACAAGTCAGGGATGACTCCATCACAGACCTCTGACCCCTGGATGACTCCATCACAGACCGCTGACCCCTGGGACCAGCTGACGGGCTGAGTCTCTCTTCCCCCCCATTGGGACACATGTGAGTAAGACTTAGACTCAGCCGAGGCTCCCCCTTGGAAACTTAGAAAATCTCTAGATATTTTACCAACTTAACACTTTTAGTAACTTGTCACCCTTTAACAATTCATAGCTTTTTAGTAATTTGTTGCTTTAGTACAAGCATTTATTTCTGCAGACAGTACATTATCACTGGCAATCTGTACGAATCTGTATCAATCCTGTTGCTTTATTAAAGTGCTTACAGACTTGCTGCACTATTTCTTACTGGGCTGTCGCCTGATGAGGTTGTGACTGGCCAGGGGGGCAGGGGACTATCGAGGGAATCCGAGTGAATCTGGCATTGGTGTGTCTGGGCTTATAGTATCACATCGAACTGTATCTGTCCGTAACCATCCACACTAACCCCATGCCCAATGGGATGCTGCTAAATGCTGCAGGTTTAGCCAGGTTTATCTGTGTGAGTCCACAGATTGTGGGTACGGGAGTTCAGCGCTCTATCGAGTGAGTCCGCTGTTGTCGGACCCACAGTGTTGAATTTGGCATCACTCAGGATTTAAGCCCAGCCGCCCCCAGCTCCTCCAGGTCTCTGAAGGTGAGTTGGAATGCAAGGGGTTTTATTTCCTGCTAAACTGCTTTACCACCCTTTTCATGCAACAGATCCTCTCCTGTAAGTTGTTATCATAGAATCACAGAATGGTTTGGGTTGGAAGGGACCTTAAAGATCATTTATTTCCAACCCCCCTGCCACCAGCTGGGCCACCTTCCACTAGACCACGTTGCTCAAAGCCTCATCCAGCCTGGCCTTAAACACTTCCAGGGAGGGGGCAGCCACAACTTCCTTGGGCAACCTGTTCCAGTTATATTTTGGGTTTGCTTTCAGTGTATGCCTTGGAAAGCACCAGGAATCAAGCGCGAGTTCAAAGGGAGCTGCGGGTTTAAAAAAGTGAAGACTAACTCTGTATCAACTGAGATTTCAGCTCAAGGGGAAAATTGACAACATAAACTGAAATTCCGATGGCCTGATCATGTTACTTTTTCACTTCATTGTCCAGGGAATGCCTGCAGTCATTAGTATGTGGATACCAAGCAGTTCCTTCATATTTAGTCTGCTTTCTGCAGGCATTTGTGAACCTAAGGGCTGTGGGTGAAGTGCTGAGCTGGGGTTTGCGTGTCCAGGAGTATGTTACCTCCTTCTTACCCTGTTCTGTTTGTTTGGACTAGTGGGGTGTTTTTAACATCACTAACGCACTGCTTTGCAGGAGGACGTAGGGTTAAGCTTTAGCTGTATTCATGGGTGTATGGCATGACTGCTTTGAAAAATAAATACTCTTGATTAATATCCCCTCTCAGTGATTCTGTAATAGTACATGAATAAACAGTGGCAAGCTTACAATGTAAGTTGAAGGTAAAAAGACAGTAGAAAGAGGAAATCAAAACACTCATCTGTCACTTGACAACATAATTGCAGTCTTTGATGATAAAAGGAGGAGTTTATTTCTCTTGAATCCATACTTTTAAATACCATTGCTCTGTCATTATGCAAGACTGGTAAACATTTTCCTTGGCCGTTTTCACTTGATGTGGAAAAATGTGGGTTTTTTTTTTTTCTGTTAGCATTTAACAAATATTAATCCAGTAAATTGAAGCATGACTGGAGTTTGCATGAGAATTTCACCTTCTTCCACCCTCCATGTGGATTTTTGGAGCCTGGTATGACCTGAGCTTTTCCTGAATTACTGTTTCTTTGCTGATTTCTAAAAATTCTAGAGGACTGAAAGAAGACTTAATTACAACATAAACTGTAAGGGAAGCTGACCTGTGTAAGCCAGCTCCCTCCACAGTGCCTGGCAGCAGGGAGCCCAGCAGCCCCAGCCAGCAACTTTGCACTGGCAGCCCGGCGCAGAGCAAGCGAGTGTGCCAGCCTGTATTGGTGAGCTCTGGCACAATGGGGCCTCCCACATGATGCCAACGTGATGCTACTTAAAAGAAATTGCTGGTTTAGTTCTAGGGTGTTGCGTAAAGTCTGGCTGGTAGAGGGGTGTTTCCTGTCCCAGTAATCACAGTGAGGACAGTGGTGGGGTTTGTTCATTGTATGAGTGCTATGTCTGTAACCTTACTGTTTGGCTTGGAACCTTCTCCTGATTTATGTCATTCCCATGTCTCCTTGAAATTTCATGTGGGAGTGCCTCAGTTTCATAACTGCAAGCATTACTTGTACACCATGTCTTCTAATAATTACTCCTACACCCTTCGGTGCACAGGTAGTGCTTACTAATTGCATTTAATGAGCATCTCTCACCTGCAGCAAATTGCCCTGTACCATTACACGCCTTAGTGTGTAACAGCATAGTATGATTTATTTATAGAACACACTGGATGGCATTTAACAGCTGTAAAAACATGCAAAAATACTGACCTCCCCTGGGGTGTTTATTGGTTTTGGAGAATGGGTATAATTTCTAGTGGAGAACTTATAAGTCTCTTATAACTTATAAGAACATATAGCCTTAATGTTACCACACCAGAAAGAGAATTAATTTCAATCGGTGCAGCTCTGCTGTGTTTGAAGCATGGCAGTACAACAGCTGGAAAGCTTGCAGTTGTTTCTGGAGGGTTATGTCGTAGCGTGTATTCCACCAAGGTGTGGTGTCATGTAGTAAAGGGGTATGTTAGGCCTGATGGTCTTCAAATTAATGCAGCCTGCTGACCTGCCTCATGAAGTACCCAGAAAGATGTGTGATGTGAACCTGGGAGGACTATCATACTGGTTC